CTTAAAAATTGTTGAAATGGCCTGTAATCCAGCATTTTGAGAGGCCAAGGCAGGAGGATTGTTTGAGGACAGGAGTTTGAGACTAGCCTAAACAACTAAGTGAGACTCCATCTCTACAAAAAATAAAATAAAATTAGCCAGACATGGTGGCATGAACCTGTAGTCCCAGCTATAGCTCATTGAGACAAGGTCTCAAAATAAAATAAAATAAAATATATTGGTTAATTCATGTAAAAGCTGTGAACTGTACCTGTTGCGCTGTAAGTATGATGTAAGAGTTTGTAAGTAAAACTCAGTACAACAGAAATGTTGCCCTCTGAAGCTTCCCTCCCTCGCCACAGGGTGAGCACTGGGGAGGGACGTGATGGGCAAGAGTTCCCATTTGCTGACAGCCAACAACTTTGCCACGTTTACCCAGGAGAACTAAAGGCTTGGAGAGTTCAAGCGATTTGCCCAAAATCACATAGGGCAGTAGAAGTGACTGAGCCAGAATACAAATTGGGTCTCCATGACACAAACCAAGCCCCACTCTTCCCATATACCCTGCCAAGTTCCTGGTACTCCAACACAATGAGACAGAGGAGGGATACAGAGGGCCATGTCCTCACCTTCAGCAACCAGCTTGGCAGTGGGGGGCGGGGGGCCGCTATGAGCAGCACGTGGAAGAGAACATCACAGCCCTTTCTACACACCGAAGGCCATGCCTGGGATTAGGATGAATGCTGTGTTTGGCTTCAGAAAACATGGTCTAAGTCCCAGCTCCACCCATTACTAGTGGGCAAGTCTCTTCACCTCACCTCACCATACCTCAGTTGCCTCATCTATAAAATGGGGATAATAACTATGCTGACTGTTGTAGGCATTAAAGGAAATAAATCTAGAAGTATCCAGCAAAGGCCCAACATACAGAACATGCTCAACACATGACCGCTGAAACTGACACACCCCAGTCATCCTCCATCACGAGGAGTAGCAGGGAGGGCTGGAATCAGGCTTGGGGCCCAGAGCACCCTTCACCCTATTGCATACCCTTTCCTTCAGGAAGGGGGAGGGTTAGATCCCCATTCTCTGCTCAGGGCCCATCCAGGACGGGGGTAGAAAGAACTGGGGGCTCTCAATCCCTACCCAGCAGCTTCTCCTCCTCGCCCCACACAAACATACCCCAATTTACGCACCCCTCTTCTGGAAGGGCCCCATTCTCCCAGATAGTGCCCTGTCCCCATTCTCCAGGCGCTGGGACCACAGCTGTGGTCCAGCTGCAGAAGCCAGCCCAGCAGACCGGCCTTCTGCCAGAGACAGGAAGTGGGGGAAGAGCTGTGCATTCTGCTGGCCACTGAGGAGGGGTGGGCGCCAGAGGCTGGAGCTGGGCCAGACCTTGTGGTCACGTGGAATGGACTGCAAGGGAGGAGTTGTGCGCCAGCCTGCTCCACTTTGTGTGTGGGGGGATTCTGAGGGGCAGACCCCATGCAAGGCGGTTCTGTCCCCTTTGTTGCCTGGAAGGCTCTGGGGTGGAGAGTAGGAAATAAATCCCAGAGGGCAGGAAAGAATACTGAGCTGGGAGTCCAGAAAGCTGATTTGCTAAGGCTTTGCCACTAACTCACTACATGACTTGTATCAGCCCCTTCTCCTCTCTGGTCTCTGTTTTCCAACCTGCGAAACTGGAAAATGTATTGCACTCTCTGCAGCAGATACATTTCTAGGGGACACACTGGCAGACAAGGCAGCCCTGCTCTCAGGGACCTTTCATTCTTCCACATCTAGAACAGGCCAAGTGGTGAAAAAGGCTGTGTCGAGTAATAAAATGGTGTTGGGGACAGAGAGTGAGAAGTCCGGGATGGCCTCTCTTAGAAGCTGACATAAGCAGAAGAAATGAGGAAAGGGCCCACGTGGGTATCTGGGGGATGTACATTCTGGGCAGAGGGAAGAGCAAGGGCAAAGGCCTTGAGGTGACAATGTCCCTGGCAAATTAACGGAAAAAACGAAAAAAGGAAGTGGCATGGCTGACAGGAAACAAGTGAGGGGAGATGAGGGTCAAGGTAGGTGGGGCCCAGCTCACGGGGACTGAAGGACTTTGCACTTTATTCTGAAACTGGGCCCGGGGGAAGCTGGGCCTGGGCTTGGGTGCAGAGCCCACTTGGTATTGTGTGTAAGTGTGTGTGTGTGTGTGTGTGTGTGTGTGTGTGTGTGTGTGTGTGTTAGGTGCGGGAACATCTTTGATCTCCACTCATTTACCCTGGCTTCCTGGACAGGTCCCTCAGGAAGAGACAGTAACGGGGCCGGGACTACGGTGTGGCGTGTGAAACCTGGAGTGAATGAGGCACTAGGCCCCAGGGGCAAAACTTAAGAGGCATCAAAAAACTCAGTAATTAAGATAAAACAATATTTTCCTGCAATATGTATAAAAATCAGATTAATGCCAAAAAGTCTATGATGAACAAAATGCCAACATTTTAGATAAAGACAGGATCTGACCCTGAACTTGCATGATCAATTCACCTTAATCCTGGTCCTGCTTCCAATAAAACTTTATTTACAAAACAAGGCAGCCGGCCCAAAGAGCTGTAGTTTGCCCATTTGGTATATGAAAATATTGCCTTAAAATATTCCTTATCAGGCGGGGCATGGTGGCTCATGCCTGCAATCTCAGCACTTTGAGAGGCCAAGGCAGGCAGATTGCTTGAGATCAGGAGTTCCAGACCAGCCTGACCAACATGGTGAAACTCCGTCTCTACTAAAAACAAAAAAAAATTAGCCAAGTGTGTGGCAAGTACCTGTAGGCCCAGCTGCTCTAACCTGGGAAGCGGAGGTTGCAGTGACCCGAGATCTCATCACTGCACTCCAGCCTGGCCCACAGAGCAAGATCCTACATCCGGGAAAAATTCCTTATCTTGGCACCCCAGAAATCTTGCACACCAGATGAGTGTCTCACTTACCTCACCCCAGTCTTGGTCCTGGGCCCCAGGGCTCATCCCTCCTGAGGCTGAAAGGCAAACGGTTTTCCCCAAAGAAATACAGTAGGTGGTAGGTCTGGAATCTGAGCCCCCACGCCAGACCCCCGGCCTTCATACCCTATCGGGTTCTGTCCTGAAATGTTGATTTTAATGTGTTGATTTTTAAATTTTTTTTATTCAAGTATAATCGTCATACCAAAAAATTGCCTAACCCTAAAATGCTCCTCTTGCTGTATCCTTACAAACTGAGCACACCTGTATAGCCAGCATGTGGGATTAAACTTAAAGTATGATTTACATTTCCAACAAAACCGACCTTAGCACTGGGCCAGATTCCGAGGGCCTTTGAGATCAAGCAGGCGACTTGGAACAGTAAGGCTCCGGGACTGAGCTGATGCAGAGTTTAGGGGCCCTGGATTGAGACTGAGAAACCAGAGGGAGGGATGCAGCACTGAGGTCCGGGGTTCGGGAGGGGGCCCTATAAGCGGGAGGAAACGGAAAGAGACGGTCGGGATTGCCTTTGAAGGTGGGTGAGGCCCAGCGTTCGCGCCCAGGTAAGCAGGTAAGAATGCAGCAGCCGCCAGGCCCAGGCCGCGGGCGAGTCCCGTCCGAGTGACTCAGCCCGTGCCAGGAAGGGGGAGTCGGCTCAGCTCTCCAGAGCTCCCGGACAGCAACCGGATCCCAGCCGGCTCCTGGAACGCTAGGACAGGCCACCGCAGCAAGCAGCCAGGACTACGGGACGGAAGCCTCTCTTCCCGTTCCGCCCCACCTTCCTCCGGACCACAACCACCCCAGCCCATCTCTGGGACGCGGCCGCGGTGGCTAGAGCGCTGCTGGCGCCGTGGGGGCCATCCCAGTCCTGGCCCCGACGGCGTCCACAGAACCTGCGACAGCCGTAAGTAGCGACTATGGGGAGCTGGGAGAGTCCAAAAAGCGGGGAGTGGGACGCCCGGCTTTCTGCGTCCCACGTCCCCACTTCCAGAACCGGCTGGACCCGGGACTAGAAAAGGTGGCCTGGCGCTGCCGTCGCCTTCCAATTTGCTCACTGGCCCTCGTGGTGGGGAGCCCAGACGCGGCTCCTAGGCGGCCCCGGCCAAGTGTGGCCGAGACGCTGTCACCCCAGGGGGCCGCTCCACCCTGAGCATCATCCCACGGACCCGCCCAGCCCCACCTGGAGGGCTGCAGGCTCCAAGGTCTTCCCCATTCTCCGGGACCAGGTCCCGGGGTCGCGCTGAGGGTCCCTGAACCCTCTCGGGCGGCCTGGCAGCAGCGCCCTCCTACCACCGCGCTCACCACCCAGAGGCGAAGCTCAGCTGGCCCGAGGCCCCCTCCCTCCCCTTTCTCCACGAACCCTCATCTTAGAAGGCCTCGGATTCCACTCTGGATACCAAAGAAGGGCTGAATTCGGAGGACCTCTCTTTGCCCCTGGAGTCGGTTTTCTGACACACATTCCCACGCACAGCTGGCAGGGGCAGGAGGTCGGGGATGCTCTGGGCTGCTGCGGCACAGGGGAGGCTGGTTGGTCACTAACCGGATTTCCCGGACAGACAACCCTGGCGGCTTGGGCCGGTGGCCTGGGAGCCCAGATCCCGGTCCCCGGCTTAGGAACCCGGGCAGAGCCTGAGGGGCATAAGGTGACTGAGGAGCTTGATCGCGCCCATCTTTGGGGCAAAGAGATTTGGAGCCCGCAATTATTCAGACAGTTGCTCGAAGTGGTTGAGGCTTCTCTGTTTCTCCTGATTTTCCAGAAACTTTTGCAGAGTTTGGACAGGCGAAGGAAAACGTGCAGCTCGCGGGGCTCTGGGCCTCAGGGGGCAGGGATTTGGGGAGACTGAGGACCCGCTCCAGGAGCGCGGAGGAAACGCGCCGAGCTGGCTTCCTGTGGGGGCTTGGGCCTCGGGCGCCCCGCGGACAAACGTGTCCCGCTCCGGGCTGGGCCGAGCACGGCGCAGGGGAGGGGACCCGCAGAGGGGCGACTGGGAAGGCGAGGAGGGGGCGGGGAGAGGGTGGGCCAGGGAAGAGGGGAGGGGAGAGGCGAGCAGGGGTGGAGCGTGGGGGCTGGAGAGAGAAGGAAGAAGGAAGGGGCGAACGGCGCGAGCAGGCGCCGTAAAGGGAAAAAGTGAGAGGGGAGGGGGCGCCGGGAGAGCACCCGGCAGCGAGCGGGCCCTGGGCGGGGGCGCCAGGAGCAGGCACGGATGGCGGGCCCCACGCGGGGATCCGGCTGGAAAAGAGCGTAGAGCGGCTCGCACGAGTGAGTGGACTGGGGAGGCGCGCGTCGTTGGGGGATGATCGCCCCCTGCCCGCCCCCGGCCTCGCCCGCTGAACCCTGTTTTCCGCAGGTCCGAGGCCGATGTACCAGGTGAGCGGCCAGCGGTCCTCTCGCTGCGACGCACCCCATGGAGCCCCCAGCGCAGCCCCGGGCCCAGGTAGGACCGGGAGTGGAGGGCGAAGCTGGACAGGGGCGGGTGGCGGCTGAAGGGGCCAATTATTAGTTCTCCTCCTCCGCCCCCAGACTCGGGGAGACGGCTCTGGGGAGCTTGGAAGGGATAGGGACGAAAGGTCTGGGTTTGGGGACTTGGTCCAGGGAGAGTAGGGGGCTGGGCGGGGGAGGCAGGGCTCTGAACAGAGGTTGCGGCTCTGCCAAGTTGGCTCCAACTCCCCGCAACTCCCAACACCAGACACACACACACACACTCCGCGGTGTCTGTCTGTCCGTCTGGGATTTGTGTCTCGACCGTTTCTGCCCAAAGTGTAAATATTTATGGGGGCCTGGTGTGGAGGGAGGGGGCGTTGTCTGAGTCTTTCTCTCCTTCCCTTCCCCCAGCCCAAATAGAGCCGAGCGCTTCCCGTAAACTTTTGTCTGCCGCGAGCGGCTGCAGGACCCGGTTCCTCCCCTCTTTCTTGCCATCCCTTCTCCTTCTCTTTCCTTCTTCCCTCTCGTGCCGGCCAGTGCCCGCCGCCCCTGCCCTGTTCACACACGCGCACCCCTACCCCGTGTCTACAGCCCGAGTGAAGTGCCCCATCCCGCTCCGGGCGCCATCTGTAACCCACCCGCTATTCCTGGGGGAGCCTCCCAAGCCAAGGATGGTTTTTGACTTCCTGAGGGGGTTTGGGGTAGAGGCCTTGCTGGCCGTGGTTCTCAGTCCCTTCCCCTCACTGGCCAGATGCCTAGTTGAAGCTCCCAAATGGAAGTCCGGATCAGGGAGAAGGCAGGAACTTCTGGGATGTGTTCAGGGCCAGGGGAACCGCGTGCAGGAGTGTGAACCCGGATTTCATAACTTGAATCTCCTCTGTCTAAGTCGTTGCCTTCCTCCCCGCCAGCCCCATTCTCCCTTTCCCCAATTTGACTGTGAATAATGAAGGTCTGCTCCCGAACCTCTGACGTGAACTCCCTGCCTTGCCTTGGACAAGCTCCTTCCCTTCTCTGGCCTCAGCCTCCACATGCACCCGCCCTCGTGGCCTGCCTGCCCGTTGGAGGAGGCCCCTCTGCGTTCCCCACCTACTTGGTATGGACGCCTAACTGTGGAGGTGGGGGTCCTCTAAACCAGAGTGAGGACAAGTGGAAGATGTCTGGCCAACAGCCAGCACATAGATGAGACCAGTGTGTCTGCAGCCTATCTTGGCCTAGCCTCAAATTCCCTGCTGTCTCTGTGGGGCCCCTGCAACGGGGCCTTCTGCAGGATGAGCGCCTCCAAGAACTGGACTCCTTCAGCCCAGAGGGAGAGCTGGGGGCAGGGCACTTGGAAGGGTCCTTCTCTGTGTCTGGGAATCTTCCCTGTCCCACTGGGCCTCCCTCCTGCCTCCTCCCTCCTCCCTTCCTCAGCCTCCTGCTCTCCCCAGCTTTCTCCCTCCCCTGATCCATTTTTTCTGGTCTTCCTTCACCTTCCAAGATCTCCTTCCTTGCTGAAGCCACTCTCAGCTCCAGCAGCAAGAGGAGGGAGCTAACTGCACAGAACCAGGGCCAGGGTGGGCGACTGGGAGGGTGAAGCCCCGGGCTGTAACTTGAGGCCCCCCAGCGCCCCAGCAGGCCCCCTCCCCAGCCTGGGTTGGGCCAGACAATGCTGCTTTCATAACTCAAGGCTTTGCTCTGCCACCGCCTTGGGAGAATGAGCCTGCTGCCCAGGAAGCCGAAACCGCAGGAGACCCAGCCAAAACCCCACAGACGCCTGAATCCGAGACCAGAATCCCCCACGCTTTGCTCCTTGGGCGCTGACAGAACAGCAAGGCCACAGCGCTGCCCCCAGAGGCCCTACTGGCAGGACAGCCAGGGAGCAAGTCAGCCCCTCCTTCAGCCGCCCCAGTGCAGACAGGGAACAAGGGGACTCAGGGCAGATCTGGTAGGGGCAGGTGGCCAAGCCCCCACACCCTTGGCTCTCCTAGTGGCCTCCTCCCGCCCACCCCTGAGAGCCCCAGGAGCCTGGCTCCCTAGCCCACAGGCACATTTCTGCCCAGCACTGGGGCGTCACATTCCTGTTCATGGTTCTAAATTGAATTTCCTGCGGAATTGGAGCCTTCGGACCTAAAATAAAACCAACTTGACCCAGCCTAACTGGCCAGCCCAGGCCCTGTTTGGTTCTCAGCTTGGTGGCTTGGGACTGTGACCAATGGATTCACATTACCCATGTGTGCATCAAAGAAGTCCACCCTCTCTGACTTTCTTGGGGTTCAGATCCAGATGCCACCCCTGTTCCTCAGCCCTCTCTCTCCTTCCCCTGACTGGGGCATTCTGAACTCCAGAAAGTACTCTCCAGTAGGCATTTGCTGAGTACTCCTTGGGGATGCAGAGGTGAATATGGACGCCACCCCCAGGGAGTGAGTTGTGAGAACTGTAGCCTGCTTGAGAAGCCAGGACTTCACTAACAAGTTATTAACAAGAGGGGACACTGGAGCTAAGTCTTCAGCAACTGGGTCAGAGAACGCTTTCTAAAGGAAGAGGTGAAGTTTGAGCTTGGTCCAGAAGGATGAGTTGGATTTGGAGAGTGGGAGAGGTAGGAGCTTCTGGTTAACAGGAACAATATAAGCATGGGTGGACTGTCAGAATATCTGGCGACAGCCCGGGCCATGGAGAGGCCAGTCTGTCTGGAACACAGGATCCTGGTACATTGAGAGATTGAAGATGCAGACTGAGGTCTTGAATGCCAAGCCAAGGAAAGACTGAAGTGTGAGGTTCCAGCCACCACTCTCTGACCATAGGAGGTTCTGGCCTTCTCTCTCCAGAGATGGTCAGAGCTCCAAAGGGGAAGCCCAGATCCACAGTCCACAAGGACAATGATGAGGGCTACACTTAAGGCACCAGGCAGCGGAGCTCTGGAGCGTGGGCCTTTCTGCACACCATCCAGGGGTCTTCTGGCTGGAATTCCCATGGGCACTGTCCAGGCTTGAACTCATCCCACCTGAAAGAGGTCCCCCTACTCCCTGTTGGTCCAGGACTTGGTGGATGGCGGGCAGGGAGAGCCCACAGAGTCCTTGCTGAGGGTGTGAGTCTCAGCCTTTCCTCTTGGGTTCATGGATTTACATGTGACTCCCACTCCCTTCTGGGGCTGGTTGTCTTTCCAGAACTCCAGACATTTATTAGAATCTTATCCCATGTTAGGAATGGGAGCGCATTGAAGCAAAGGAGCTATTGCCTTTCCATATCTCCCCTTTGTAGATAGCCACCTTTGAGAGGAGGGCTACAGGGCCGGGAGCTTCTGCTCAGAGATGCCACCAGCATGCGTGGCACCAGGTGCAGATTGGAAAAAGGTGCCCCCTTGGTCAGATGGAGCAGGCATGCAGTTGGGTGAGCAGATGGCACCTACTAGGAAGACGAGGACTTCAGCCCCATCTACTCACTCCGTTGGCAGGCACCTTCTGCAGGTCATGAATTGTACATCCACACAGGGGCTTCCTTCACCTTTGCGGGCCACCCCCTTCCCTCCTGCCCACTCTGCACTTCCACTCTCGGGAAGTTTCTACCCTGAGATGTTCTCCCCTCTGTGGCTGGACAGCAGTGTCTCGGTTACAGAATGGAAACCTGGGCTCTTGGCGCCTCTGCCCCATCTGTTCCAAGCAGGAGCTGCTTCTCAGTCCCCACCTCGGGGTCTGGGCCACCAGGGCAGTGTCGCCGCTGCAGACCAGGTCCTCCTGCAGCTGCTTCTTCCTTTTCCTTCGGCTGCCCTGTCTCTGGACACTTGGCACAGTTCCCTCTTCTGCTCTCAGTGCTGGTTTGCTGGGTCCTGTCTGCGGCCCCTCCTGGCTCCGGAGGTTCTCTGTCCCTTTGTGTGTCTCCAGGTCAAGATTACTGGACATGGTTTTCTTTCCTTCCTCATTTTTCCTCCATGGTCTAATGCCTAGTAGGCTTCCTACAGGATGCGCCTCCTCGGGCCTTGGTCTGCACTCTATAATTTCCTGTTCCCACCAGATCCAAGGTCACCAGCCCTGTAGGTGACTGTCAGGAGAGACTGCCCACAGAGTGGAGACACTTTGGGTAAGAAGGTTCGAGATGTGAACTCCAGGCTCCTTAAATCAACTTCCTCACCTTCCCTCCTCTCTTCTTTCATCTCTCAGCTCTCTCTACCTCTCTCTCCCCCCACCCTTCCTCTCTGTGCTCTCTGTGTCATTTGGAGATAGTTCATAGAGGACACCGTATGTCAGCCCCTCTCCATTCTCTGCGATTGATTCCATTTCAGTTCAAGACTACCCTGTGTCTCTAACACTGCGGGAAGGGAGGGAAGCAGGGAGGGCAGGGAGCAGAAGTCCTGGCTCTCTCTACCACAGGACTCACAGTGTCACCCCAGGGAGCCCTTGTGACCTCTGCAGGAAGCCTGGGAAGTGACCACAGGCCTGTCATGCCCTAGCTATCATTCTAGGCTTCCCAGACTCAACACTGCCCCAGAGCATGTGGCAGCTCACTGGGGGTCTTGATTCCTGCTGCTCTTCTCAAAGCTCCCCTTCTGTGCTACTGATTGGTCAAGACTGAGTGTGAGTACTACCTGCCCCAGGAAGCCTGCTAGCCACACTCACCCATCTGGGCTAGGGGGCCATCTTCTGCGCTTCCACCATTCTTCCAGATGCCCTACCGTCACTCTTGCACCTCTGTGTATGTAAGAGCCACCAGCCCACCCCACCCCTGACCGAGAACTTCAAGGCAATGAGCTGGTCTTTCTCACTTGGGTATACCCAGTACTCATTATATTGCTGGGTGCCTCATAGGTCCTTAATAAATGTTAAACCACGAAGCACAGATAGGAAGGAAGGAAGGAGGGGAGGAATGAATGAAAAGGGAAAGGTCAGAAGCCAAACTAGTCATTTAAAAAAAAAGGAGGGAGGAAGGAAAGAGAGGAAGGGAAGGAGGGACAGAGGGAAGAGGAGTGGGGCTGTGGGTGAAAGATTTGTGAATAACCCCCTAATGAGCATTTTCTTTCCCTCTTGAAACCCTGTGGCATGAGCATTAGGACAAAGCAGCCCCACTCTGATAACTTGCCAGGCTGGTAACTGGTGAATGCACGGCTCGGATCTTCCGCTCCTCACTCAGGTCTTTCTGTCTCATTACACCGCATGGGAGAGTCAGGTCTCCCAGTTCATGGAAGATGCCTCTGGGGGCCAGGGGTCAGAGCTAGGCAGGCCCCTGCTTTCCTGAAAATTAGGACCCTAAGCCTCTCTTTCCTTTGTCTTTTTTTTTTTTGAAAGAACGGGGTCTCGATATATTGCCCAGGTAGGTCTCGAACTCCTGGTTTTATAATTTTTTTTTGTCTTTTTTTTTTTTCCCTTTGAGCCTCCCTTTTTATGGCAACTTGGTCTTAGCCTGCAAGAGCCATATCTGAGCTGGTGTAGACCAGGCTCAGGGCTAGGGGAGGCACCATCTGGCACCAGCGTCTCCACTGGCCTGCTCCCACTTGTCCAAAAGCCATTTGATTTCTCAGTGATCAGCCCAGCTATGAGTGGGGCTCTCAACAGGCCCACAGAGCAGTTGGAGCTGGAAGGAACCCACCCCTGCCTTCCTGGAGTCATGGACCCCGGGAAAGGCTCCCAGCAAATAACTCCGCTGCCCTGCAGGAATCCCAGGAGCGCCAGCCCTGCCCAGCTCCTGTCTCCAGGCAAGGCCTGTGGTTTTTCACTGGGCAGGTGAGAGCATGCCTGTTGGGCCTGCTGCCCTCTGTGCTTCCCATGTGGGGCCTTGGGGCGCCCGTCCCCCTGACTGTGGGGCACCAGACCCCTTAGAACAAGGATTCCTACGGGGCTTCTGAGGGTCACAGCCACAGGGGGCTGTGCTCTGGGCCCAGGGAGGCAGCTGGGCCCCAGAATCTTCCCCTCAACGTGCTTCCAACTCCCCTCCCCCAGGCCTGCATGCCCAGGCCTCCACTGAGCCCTCTAATTATCTCCCTCGTCTCTTCTTTCAACTCTCAGCTCTCAGCTCTCTCTCCCCCGCCCCCTTCCTCTCTGTGTCATTGGGAGATAGTTCATAGAGGACACCATATGTCAGCCCCTCTCTGTTCTCTGTGATTGATTCCATTTCAAGACTACCCTGTGTCTCTGTCTCTGCATGTCCCTTTCTGGGTCTCTCCATGGGTTGTGTACTCTGTGGGCTTCCCTACTGCTTCTTGTCATCTCCCCCTCTGTGTCATCCTGCCACTGTCCATGTCCCCCTCCGTGTCCCCCTGCCTCTCCCCGTGTCCCCCTCTCTGTCATCCTGCCACTTTCCACGTCCCCCTCCGTGTCCCCCGCCTCTCCCCGTGTCCCCCTCTGGGTCTCCCTGCCACTGTCCATGTCCCCCTCTGTGTCCCCCTGCCTCTCCCCATGTCCCCCTCCGTGTCACCCTGCCTCTCCCCATGTCCCCCCTGTGTCCCCCTGCCTCTCCCCATGTCCCCCCATGTCCCCCTGCCTCTCCCCATGCCCCCCCCCCGTGTCCCCCTGCCTCTCTCTGTGCCCCTGTGGCCTCTGCATCTCTGAGCCTCTTGTTTCTGTGTCTCCTTGTTCCTTCTCTTTCTCCCAGCATGACATGTGAGGAGGGGGCAAGTGGAAGGCCACCCTCTTGATTCCCCTGTCTTTCCAACTAACCGCATAGGCTGAGGTCTGATGAGAGGCCCAGGCTGCACCCTACACCCTTTCATTGGCACAGCCTGGGCCTGCCCATGATCCCTGGCTGAGTGTGTGGAAGCTCAGACCCCTTTCTTCCTCCCTCCCTCACTACCCATCCCCCATTCCTTTTTTCCCCTGAGCCTAGGGGCCCTAGTCCTGCAGCCTGGGGAGCTGTGGGTTTGAAGGTGGCTCCATTTCTGCCTCCTGCCGCCCCTGCACAGAGCCACTGTAATTACATGTGGCTGCGGTTCACCTCTTCCCCAGCGCTCTGGCCGGCCTCTTGTCGCTCTCCTGACTGTAGCCCCTCCCTGCTCCTCACCCTCAGGTTCCTCTGACTCCTCTGCCATCATCCTCTCTGACCCAGTTTCTCCAGTGCTCCCTGTTCCATCGCCTCTGTCTCTGCCCCATCTCTGTCTTTCTCTCCGTCGCTGACTTTTGCACTATTGCTGTATCTCGCTCCCGTCCCAGGCTGTCTGTCACTGGGTCACTGTGAATCTCTCTTCCACACCCAATCTCCTGCAGTCCAATGCTCTATCTCTCTTTGCCTCTACCTCTCACTGTCCCTTTGATTCTCCCTGTCACTCTCCATGCCTGTCCCTATCTCTCCATCGCTCACTGTCCGTCTGTTCTCCCCTATGCTGTTTCTGCCTCCTCTCCCCACTTCTCTTCATACTCTACCATCTCTGCCTCTCCCGACACCACACGCATACGTGCACACACTCATGTGCATGCACACCCTTGCTCACTCCCAGAGTGTGGTTTGGGAGCTTTCTATTTTGGAGTCTGTTGCTGTTGTCAGATAGAGTAAGGGCTGGCTAACTGGTGCAAACAGATGAAGAATGAGGGTTCAGTGGGCATGGTGGGCTGTGGGGCAGGGCCCAGGGCTTGGCAAAAAGGAGGGCCCCAGGAAAATGGACCTCAGTCATCTGCTTTTTTCCTAGCCCAGACCCTATCCCTCCTTCCTGGGCTGGAGGTAGTAACAGGATCCACTCACCCTGAGGAGGCAGCGCCAGAGGAGGGCTCTCTGGAGGAGGCGGCAACCCCCATGCCCCAAGGCAATGGCCCTGGGGTCTCCCAGGCCTTGGACAGCACTGACCTCGATGTCCCCACAGAAGCTGTGACATGTGAGTCCTAGAGAACCAGTAGGTTGGATGGCAACATGTAGCGGTTGCACTAGGGAACTCAACACAAATGGGTTGGCAAAAATGGGTGCACCCACTTGGCCAGGACCCTGAGGGTGGCAGCACGGCAGCAGAAAGGGGTAGGGCAATGTCACTGCTCTGTCTGTCAAGGGGCAGACCTCCACTGCAAAGTGACTAGGAAGCAGGAGTGCGGGCAGGCTCCAGGCAAAATGGCTCAGGACAGAGAGCATGCGGCTACCTGGAGAGAGGCGCCCCTGGCCTCAAGAAGAGAGCTGCAGGGCTGGCGTGGGGCAGCGAGCCCGAGCCTGATGCAGCCCCATCCTTCTGGGAATCAAGGCTAAAAAGAAGAAGCCCCCAGTTGCTCTGGGGGATGGCAAATAGAACAAAATTCAGCTCCATTCCCAGGCCTGGCTTGAGTTCTCCAAGGAGGTCCTGGGAGGGAGAGAATTTTCCACCTTCACCCTCAAGAACAGGAGAAGCAACAGCTGGGATCATTTTTATAAACAACAGGGATTTGCCCACATCTATAGACATACTTTTACTTCCCAACTTTCTGTCCCTGAGTGGGCTCACTTGCTCGCCTAATCAGCCTGTAGTGAGGCAGCAGGATGGCTACTGCCAAGCCCATTTTACAGACAAGGGAACAGGCACAGAGAAACACCCACCCTGGTCACAAGCCGGGAAACTCAGGTCTCCCAGCCCAGCACTCTTCCCAGTGCCTGCCTGCACGCCCAGCTGGCATGGCCGGGCGGGCAGCCTCCTCCAGCCAGGGCATCTGGGACTAAGTTGGACTCCCTGGAAGTCAGGGTTACTATCCTGCTAGTGCACGGCCCTTGGTCTCCTCCAGCACACCCACCAGCAGAATTGAAAGAGCTCAGTGCCGTGGCTGTGGAGGAGGGGGCGTGGTGGGAATGGGACAGACGCTCCTGTGTCTGTGAGCCCTGAGTGTTTGCTCTGTGACTCAGCCCCCACGGCCGCCCCCATGGCCATGACCACAGGCAAGCTCTGTGTCTGTCCACATCTCCCAGATCCCTCAGCTCACCGCACACTCCCGCCCTCTGGTCAAGGCATCCATGTTTAGGCAACAGGGCAAGGGGCACCAAAGCTGGCCAAGGACTCTGCCCAGTCACCCTGTGTGGGGGCCAGAAGGTGGGGGCCGGATGATTCAGGCCTGGCCACTTCCCATAGCCTTACCCCTGTTTACCCAGATGCAGACACCAGCCACAGCTCTTGCTGGAGGCTCCCAGCATGGAGCCTCTCCAGAACCCTGGCTCCCACCCTCCCCCTGACCCCCGACCTTGTCCTCAGCTCCTTTCCCCCAATCTTCATGCCCTCCCCGATCCACTTCCCAGCTACGGGACTTCTGGCAAGCTTTCCCTCTCTGGGCCTCCGTTTTCTCATCTGTGAAATGGGGCCAGTAGTAGATCTCTTGTGATGCATAAAGAAGCTGCTCCACCTAAAGCTGCCAGCACTGTGCCTGGGACATAATACCTGCCTGAAACACGCACGCCACCCGTCATGAGGGTAGTGACTGTCGTGATGTAGCAGCTTATTCCTCGGTCGCTTGTCTCCCAGCCTCTGCCCCGCTGCGGGCCTCTGCCCTCTGAGCCCAGCCTTAATCTCTAAGCTCGTCCCATATCTGACACTTGCTAGCTGTGTGACCTTGGGCAACTTATTGTACCTCTGTCTCTCTGGGACTCAGTTTCCTCATCAGTAAAAGAAGGCTAGTGATACCAAGGGGATCTGTGAGCAGCAAGTACTTAGAAGGGCTGGTGTGCGGGGAGCACGCAGTGTGCGATCTTGTGACTGCTGCCATCACTGGAAGACCTGGCCTCCTTGGCCAAGGGAGTCATCGAGGCCACCCTCCCCTCTCCTTGGGCTCCAGGGCCCCCAAGACGTCTCCCTCCTACACAATTCACATACACAGGCCAGGCCTGGAAGGAGATGGGGATCCAGACTCCAGCTCCTGAGGGACTGAAGTGCCCTATATTTCCAGAGGGTCCTTGGGGCCACAGGGTCCTGCCCAGGAGTCAGGAGTCCTGCCCAGCTGAGGAGCCCCAGAACTCTCAGTGACCCCTCCTCAGTCCCTCCCTACTCCCCGCACCATACACACCTCCCCTCATCTCTTGAGAATAGAACTGAGCCAACCAGTTCTCACCCAGAACTGAACATCCCTGAGTGAGGGGCAGGAAGGAACTCGGGGCTTGGGGGATCTCCAGGGTCACCTTGCCTGCACCCCACTGATCAAGTTGAAGTTTGGTCCCTCAGCCTGCAGTGGGGACCCAGGGCTCCTGGCTTTGGGGGTCTCCCCACTGCCCTTCCTCTTGCCACTTTCCCTCCCTCCTCCCCCAGACCCCAAGGCCCCTCCCCAAACTCTGCCAGCTGCCCACAGAGGCAGGATGGGGCTGGGAATTCAGAGGGCAGAGGTTTGAGTTAAGACACCAGGAGGAAGGAGCAGGAGGTAGAGGGGCTGCAGTGAGGAGCCCCTGGATTCCAGGGCCAGGCGTTCATCTCCAAACAGATGTTTCCAATAAATCACCCAGTGTGCCAAGGGCAATAACAGCTGGGGACTTGGCAGAGGCCAAGGTGAAGGTTAACTGCTTCACTGCTGTCCTCCCTACCCCAGCCAAACCACCCCTCTTCCCCAGCACCGCCACTGCCACCACTCTGCCGAAACCTCAGGATGACAAGAGCAGGAGAATGGACTTTGTGCGAGGAACGAAGGAGAGGCCTAGGGCTCCGAGCCTCTCCGCTTGTACATCTGTCATTTCTGGACTGAGCACTGAACTGAGAGTCAGGAGCTAGGGCCAACCCAATTTCATGGCATGGCTCCGGACTAGTCATTTCTTCCCTCTGGGCCTTAGTTTCCCCATCTGCAGGATATAGGTATGGCTGGGTGCTTTGGGGTGTATGAAAGAATGAAGCAGATAGGATTTGAGCACAGCTCTGGGGACTGAATGACCCCCGCCCTTTTCCCATCAGCCTTTCTCTTCATCTCTCCAGGTCAGCCTCAGGGGAACCCCTTGGGCTGCACCCCACTACTGCCGAATGGCTCTGGCCACCCCTCAGAGCTGGGCAGCACCAGACAGGCGGGGAATGGTGCCCTGAGTGGCCCCAAGGCCCATCGAAAGTTGCAGACACACGCATCTCTTGCCAGCCAGGGCAGCAAGAAGAGTAAGAGCAGCACCAAATCCACCGCCTCCCAGATCCCCCTCCAGGCACAGGAAGGTAAGCACCCCATCCCATCTCTCCCTGGGAGAGGCCTCCAAAGCCAGGTTTCTGGAAGCAGGACCCAGGGGCCTGCAGGAGCACCCTCACCAGGCTGCTGCTTAGAAATGCAGGATCTCAACCTCCTTCCAAGCCTACTGAATTGGACTCTGGTGGGGCTTAACAAGCCCTGCAGGGAACCTGATGCATGATCAAATCATAGAACCTCGAAAAGTGCACCTACTGGGTAAACTGAGGCATATCTACCTCCTCAAGCTTACCCTGTTCCTCCCCCACCCCTCCCATCCTTGCTTTCCCAGAATTGCTGTAACAAGGAACAGAGCCACCTGGGTTGATCCATCTTAAGCCACTCTGTTTCTGGAAACAGAAATTTTCTGTCTAGGGAGGAAAAAAGACCATGTAGCAGAACAAAATGGTGCCGGGGCGGGGCTGCAAGGTGCAATGGGAGGTCAGAGGATCGAAACTCCCAGACAGCTGTTGTGCCTGCAACACAAAGATCTCCGTAGGGCTGCAGGGCAGCCAGCCCCCTCCTCACCAGCCATCAGGTAAACATGGCTCACAGCTGCCTGAGCTCAGTGATGGCCTGAACTTCACCCCAGAATGTTCCAGTGGTTCCTGTCTGTGTGGAGGGACACTGGCCTGGGCATCTGCAAATAGATTCAGTTTACACACTTGCACGTAACATTCTTAGAAACCTTCCCACTCCACAGAGCAGATTCTGCCCAACAGTTTTTTGGTTTTTATTTTTGTTTTTGTTTTTCTGAGATGGAATCTTGCTCTGTTGCCCAGGCTGGAGTGCAGTGGCACAGTCTCAGCTCACTGCAACCTCCGCCTCCTGGGTTCAAGCGATTCTTCTTCCTCAGCCTCCCAGGCGTGTGCCACCATGCCCGGCTAATTTTTGTATTTTTAGTAAAGATAGGATTTCACCATGTTGGTCAGGCTGGTCTCAAACTCCTGACCTTGTGATCCACCCGCCGCAGCCTCCCAAAGTGCTGGGATTACAGGCAAGAGCCGCTTTGCCCAGCCCCAATAGTCTTAGTTATGAAGGAGCCATTTATTCATGTAAAGTGTCCTGGCCGGGCACGGTGGCTCAGGCCTGCAATCCCAGCACTTTGGGAGGCTGAGGCGGGTGGATCACCTGAGGTCAGGAGTTCAAGACCAGCTTGGCCAACATGATGAAACCCTGTCTCTACTAAAAATACAAAAAACCCTGTCTCCACTAAGGGCATGGAGGGGGGCCCTTATAATCCCAGCTACTTGGGAGGCTGAGGCACGAGAATCGCTTGAACCCAGGAGGCAGAGGTTGCAGTGAGACAAGTTTGCACCATTGCACCCCAATCTGGGCAACAAGAGTGAAACTTCATCTCAAAGCAAAATAAAATGAAATGTCCTAGGCACCTGCCATGTGCTGGATACCTGGTTCATGCCGTCATAAAGCTCTCATGAGAGACATAGATAGGTAATCGCCGTAAGAGGTGATAAGTGCAGTGAAAAAGTCACAAAGAGGATTATGTGAACTCAAGGAGACACTCACACCAGCCCAGAAATCTGGGGAGGGAATCCTGGGAAGGCTTGGAGGCAATGTCTGAGCATGCCTTAAAAGATGAGAAGGAGGCTCCAGCCAGGAGAGCACAGAGGTGAGAAATGGCCAGTATGGCTGGAGGGTGAAGTGCCAAAGGTGAGACTCGCGGCAGGCAGGGGTCCTGGGAGGTCCTTACCAACCAGGCAGTGAACCTAGACTATCTGGAGAGCAGTAGGGCGCCCCTGAAGGGTTTTTAGCATGGTGGTGACTCATCCAGTTTACATTTGAAAAGAACTACCCTATCCAGTTTGAAGAGAGATCGCCAGACCCTGGTCCCTCCACACAGGAATGCAGGAGAACAGGGTTAGACCCTCCTCCCTCCTCCGCACAGTGAGTCTCCCAAGGGGCCCCTGGCCAGGAGAACTGCACGCTCTGCCCCACGGCCTGGCCCCAGCACATGGAGCGCTGCAGGACAGAGGCTCTAGAGTCAGCAGCCTGGACTCAAGTCCCAGCTCCAGCACCTCCCAGCTGGTGCCCAGCACAGCTTCATGCATTTCTGTTCACTCAGCACCCCTATGTGCCAGGCGCTGCTCTAGGGACTTGTAATCTGTCAGTGAACAAAATGGGCAAAGGTGCCTGCCCTGCTGGAGCTTACATATCCAGTAGGAGGAGATGACAATGAACGTGAGAAAACCGTGTAGTACCGTGGGAGGCGATGGCCTCTGGGGGAAGCAGGCAGCCAGGTAGGGCCAGGCAGGGAGTGCGAGGCAGAGCCAGCCAGTTGCAGTATTGAGGCCGGTGGTGCAAGGCCTCAGCGAGAGGTGGCATTTGGGCAAAGCAGGAGATGAGGGAGTCAGCCGAGCATGTGCCTGTGGCAAGATTGTTCCAGGCAGAAGAATCAGTGTCTGCATGGCCAAGGAGCAGCCAGGAGGCCGGCGTGGCCGGAGCAGAGTGATCCGGAGGAGAGGAGTGGGAGAAGAGAACTAAGAGGGCACAGGGATCAGACCACAGGGGGCCTCAGGGGCCACTGTGAGGACTTCAGCTCCTATCACAAGTGACATGTGAGCCATGGGAGCGGTCTGAGCAGAGGAGGGCCAGGATCCAACAGACGTTTCTAAAGGATCCCTCTGGTCGCAGTGTGGAATGGAGATGCTTCGGGGGCAGTGGACAAAGCCAGGCAGTGGGGAGACCAGTGAGGAGGCTGTTGAAGGTGTCCAGGTGAGAGATGAGCCAGGTGGTAGGATTTGGGGTGTAGACTTAGCTTCTCTCTTTTTGTTTTGAGACAGTCTCGCTCTTGTGGCCCAGGCTGGAGTGCAGTGGTGTGAGCTCAGCTCACTGCAGCCTCTACCTTCTGGGTTCAGGCGAGTCTACTGCCTCAGCCTCCTGAGTAGCTGGAATTACAGGCTTGCACCACCACACCCAGCTAATTTTTTGTATTTTTAGCAAAGATGGAGTTTCGCCATGTTGACCAGGCTGGTCTTGAACTCCTGACCTCAGGTGATCCACCTGCCTCAGCCTCCCACAGTACTGGGATCAGGCATGAGCCACTGGGCCCAGCCGACTTAACTTTTCTTAATCTCAGTCTCTTCATCTGTGGAGTGGGGCTAGTGATAGCCCCTGCCTCATAGAGTCGCCGTTGGAGGTCTAAATGAATGTAATTCATGCAGAGCACTCAGAATAGTGCCCAGAATAAGTATCACTCCATATGTTGGTTAAATAAGCAAACTGAGGCTGGCTCAGAGCAAGGATGATCCAGACTGCCTGGACTGGACCCTGCTCTGATGTGCTCAACTGTGTGTGCCTCGGGGTCATCACCTAGCGGACGGACACATGAGCTTCATGTGTGCCAGGTGCTTGGCATGGGCAGGCGCACGGTGAGCACTCAGCATCCCCGCCGCTGCTACTGCTGCTGGGCCCCCACGCCCCTGGCTGTTTCACACATGCTCTCCCCTCCCCGTCTCCTCTGCCCACCCCGCAGACTGCTGTGTCCACTGCATCCTGTCCTGCCTGTTCTGCGAGTTCCTGACGCTGTGCAACATTGTCCTGGACTGCGCCACCTGCGGCTCCTGCAGCTCAGAGGACTCGTGCCTCTGCTGCTGCTGCTGCGGCTCCGGCGAGTGTGCTGACTGCGACCTGCCCTGCGACCTGGACTGTGGCATCCTGGACGCCTGCTGCGAGTCCGCAGACTGCCTGGAGATCTGCATGGAGTGCTGTGGGCTCTGCTTCTCCTCCTGAGCCTCTGTCGGGGACCGGGCCAGCCGGGCACCCCTGCGGATTCCAGCAGGGTCCCCTGATTGGGGCCAGGCCTAGGACTGTCACACAAGGCTTCTGAAGGCCCCTTGTCTCTGGTCCTCTCTCACCCACCTATGTCCTCTCAGAACCCCAGCCTTGAAAATGGTGGGGGCGTGCTCAGAGGGGCTGTTTCAGCTGTGGGTGGTGGGCCCACGGCAGAGAAGCCTGAACTCTTTAGTGGGTTACCAGGGACACACATCACCAAAGACCTGGTGGGACAACCTAAGGGCAGGGCTGGGGTGGGGGCTGCAGGGGGCCAGCCAGGGCTACAGAACACTGTGAAAGTTACCTGGGGAGGGTGGGTCGGTGGGGCCGTGGCTCTCTACCTCTCCCTGCTCCTGGCGCCCGCCTCTCTGCACCACCTCGGGCTTAGAGGACAGCAAATGTGAAAAGAGACGCCCCACCCTCCCTCAGCCAGCCATCTCCAGTCTCCTATCCTAGGCTTTTGTGGGGGCCTAACCCGTGCAGTGACCCCAGAAAGCAGGGCTAGGCAAGGCCTTTGGGTAGGGTGGGAGGGGGAACAGTATGGAAAAGACTGGAATGGGAAAGGGAGGGAAGGGAGGGAGGGTCTGTTCTATTTGTTGTTGTAAATAAAGATATTTGTCCGTCTCAGCTTTCTTCAGCACTCATGACTAATTTCCATGGGCCATGACTCTCAAAAGCAAATGCTCCTACTGCCCCTAAAAAGCACCCACATGGATGAGGCTGCCCTGCCCTCTGGGGGCCCTGCCTCTTCTGCTTTTCTTACCCCAGAAACTGCCCTGCCCTTCACGTTCCCCTCCCTTCTTCACGTTTCCCTCTAAGGGAAGAAGGTAAGTGGGGTACCTTCTCCCACCATTATTTCCCTCTTCCCACCAAAGGGAGGGGAAGCCCAGAGAGGGAAGAGTTAACCTTGGCATGGAATTAATTAACAGCAGATGTGTTCGGGTTCTGATTAATTAATCTCCTGCTGACTCCAGCTTCTCCAGCTCTTCCCCATGAAGTCGTTCCAAGGCATAGGTGACGCCCATGTTGGTACCAGAGGGGTGCCTGGGAGGGGGCCAGTTCCAGGCCCGGGGCACCCCAGGCTTGCCCCTGAGCTTCAATGGAGGCCCGGTTGGGGTTACACACACAGCCTCAGGCATCCCCCCATTGCCAGGGGTCTGAGAAAGAAGGAAGCTGTGTCAGGACTGCAAGGGCCCCCAAGGCCATCTGTGGGGAGGCCTTGGTATGCAGAGGGAGGAACCTGAGAAGCAATGGCAGCTGTGAAGACTGCAGGGCTGCACTGGGGGCAGCTGGACCAGCACCCCCCACACACATCCTGGACCTGAGGAGAGGTCCAGGGGGCATGAGAGGCTTTCAGACGGTTAGGGTGACTTGGAGAAGACTCAGCTGATGTAGGCTTCAGAGGGGACCACAAGGGTATTGGTGGGCACTGCTTCCAGGAATGAAGGCTTGGAGTGGTTCCGAGGGGTTCTGGAAGGAAGTGTGGGGTGACTGGGGGAAAGGGCCAGATGAAATTCAAACGCTCTTAAGGAATGTCACAGGAGAGAGCAGCCCATGGCCTTGGGAGTGGGTTTCATTGCAGCAGGAGGAGGAGGTTCTAAGAGGCAGCAAGAGAACTAGCCCCCGCTCCTCCCCATTCCATCCCACTCACACAGGCCTCACTGCACCAGCTTCAGGCTTTTCTGACCTCTGAGAGCACACAAGAAATTCAGGACACAGAGAGGAAGGGAACTGCCCGGGGGTGTCACTACCAAGCCAGTAGAGGGCCCCGGAGGCACCCCCAGTACTCATGTATCTCTGTGTGTATTTGTATGGTTTTTAGTTATTGCACACCCAAGGAAGATTTAGAAGTCTAATCTGTGCACACACAAGCATTTACATGTATGTGTTTTCTTTTTTTACAAAATATGAGGATCCTGTACACACTGTCCTGGACCCTGTTTCTCCCACTTGGCCATGTGTTGGGGATCTTCCTTCCCAGCACACGGAGAGCTGCCTGAGTCTCCTGGATGGATGCGCCACAGTCCAGGGACCCAGCCCTGCGCAGTCCGAGGCTCAAGCGCTTTGTTACAACAAGGCTGAGCGAACACACCCTTTTGCTTGAATGAGCTATATTGGCAGAATGTTCGTGAACGTGGGATTGCTGGGCCTGCCGTTGACAGGACTGCCCTGCTGTCCCCTGTGAGGGTGTACCAGCCTCGGCTCACTCGGCCTGGGGGACATCCACTTCTCCCATTGCCCTGGAGAGACAATGGTGGGAGAGTTTCTAATTCAGTCCTCGAGGCTGGAGTCTGAGGGATGTTAGGCAGGCCAGATTGGGGGTGAAGGGGCTCCTGACCAGCTCCATATCTGGTCCAGGTGGGCAGGAAGGCCTGCTCCTGGCCCTCCCCGCTCCGCAGGGCTGTGGCAGGAAGAGGCACCGCTGCAATCCAAACAGCCATTTCCTGCTGCAGGCTCCAGGCTGTTTTCTTTAGGACAGTGGCTGAAACCCTAGAGGCTGGGCTGGGTGGGGGCGGGACTCGGGAAGAATTTAGCCAGCCCCCTAACACACACACACACACACACTGCAAACACACACCCACTTCACGCCTACGTGCACCCACATACTCTCACACAGCCTCTCCATACAGCCACACACTCAGATACATTCCATAGGCTCATGCATTCCACACCCGCACCACACACACACTCACACCACATCTGCACACACTCACACACTGCCCATTTCAGAGCCTGCAGCTGCCTCCACCCCAGGCCAGCCTGAGGTTGGGCTGCGGAGACCCATGTCGGTCCATTCCCCCTTCGTCCCACACCTGCCCTGCCTTCCTCAGCTCCCCGTCTTTGCCCAGGTGCCCTCATCCCTGCCGGGCAGCAAATAGCATTCATCTAGAGGCTGCCCACCCCCAACCAGGGCAAGCCCTGGCTCTGGATCTGTCCCTCTCCTCATGGCCCACCACAGGCTCCCAGGCTCTGCTTTCCAATGTCTGGGCTGTGCCAGGTGACAGTTCTAGGCCTGGCTGTGCTGTGGGCCGCCAGGAAGGGGCCCTTTCCTCCCCAGGCCTTAGTTCCCTGTGTGTACAATGGAAGAGCAGGAGACTGCGGCCGTAACCGTGGCCACAGTGTCCAGGGAACACCTGCCTCTCTCTGGTCTTCTTTCATCGTTAGAGCAGCAGATCGGCCCAATTTTGTCTGGGAGCTGTCTTAAGAGGCCACCCCCATCCCCATTTGATTTAGCCTGTTGTCTAAACCAGAGCAAGCACCCCCTGCTTATGGGATAAAAGGTGGTGAGGCCAAGTTAAGCCAGCCCTGGCCAGTACTGTCCATGACCACGCAGTGACCTTGTGCGCCAAACCTGAGAGGTGGCCCCACCACACAGCAAGTAGCTGAGCCAGGGGCTGGTTTGTGAGGGGAGGGCAATCAGCCGGGGCCCTCTGCCTCCAAAGTCTCCATCAGCTTCTCCCTGAATTTGGAACTTGAACTGGCCTGGCCTCTTCTCACACCCAGCGCAGGGCCAGCTGAGCTTCAGGCCCCATGGCCTCCGCGGCTGCAGAGCTGCCAGGACGGACACTGGGCAGAGCAGGTCCACCCCACCCCATGCCGTCACCCCCAATAGCTTCACCTGTTCCCCAGGGAGATGGTCCAGTCGTGGGGGCCAGGGCTGGTCCCTGAGGTTTTCAGGGCAGCTGCTGCACACACTCCCACGGTTGAGCAGGGGGCAGCTTGTTGACCAAGCTGGGAAAACAGCGCAGCTGCCCTTGGGACTGGCCCTGGACAAAGAGAGGTGAGGGAGAAGCAGGGACGGGAAGCTCAGGCCACAGTGGGGGAGCAGCGGGTGGTGGGGACAGAGCTCATAGACCTGGTCCCTTGTCATCTCTGTGCAGATGCTCCTCTCTGCACTCTGACTTTCCTAGGCTGGTGGGGTCATGTGGTATGGGATGGCACTCTCAGTCACAGCCCTCTTATCACCCCAGCTGGCCCCTCATCTTTCGCGTCCTCTGGAGAAAAGCCGCCTCCCAGCCCTTCCTTGCCTTTCACTGGTTTCACCACTTTTCCCCCGGCCGTAGCCACCTCCCCATTCACATTCCCTGCCATCTCTGAGTCTGCTTCTTTCTGGGTGCTGGGCACATTTCCTCCTACTGCAGACACGGGTGGAGCGGGAAGGGGTAGGCACACTGTCCACCTGGCACAGTCTCAGTTCTACCCCCTTGGGGCCACAGAGCAAAGGCCAGGGAAGCACTCTGATTGGCCCTGCACACACAACAGGCTCATCCCTGAGCCAATCACGTTGCCAGGGGGACAAAGGGCTGCGGCTGGCCAGGCCTCATCGTGGGCTGCCTCTGTGGCCTGGAGGGTGGGCTACTTGGCCACCCCTCCAGACCCTTATAGAATCAAGGAAAGGAAGCCTCCCAAAGAGGTAGGGTGCTGTAACAAAAACGGGGGGAAGCTAACAGATTAAAACAACAGAAGTCACTGTGCGGTCAGATGAGCAGGGGTGGTAGAGAAGTCCCTAACTAGGGGAGACCCAGCTGGAAACCCCAAGGTGTCAAGTGCAGCTCAGCACATTTGGCTGACGAACAGAAGGCAAGAATGGCCTTCAAATGCCTGCATCTTGGGGAGGAGAGTGGGGCTTATTTTCAGTCTCCAGCAGGTAGGGGTAAGACTGAGGAGCAGACGTCACAGACATTCCCAGCTCCAGGAACGAGAGAACACTCTGCTAGCAAGAACTGCCCCAGGGAGGATGGACTGCCACAGCGGGGTGCAGGGCGGGGGTCATCCCTGTTCCAAAGACCATTCTGGAGGAGCAGGTGTAGATTAGGTCCCTGCCCAGGTATTGGCAGGGTGGCAGAAAGGACAGATGGTGGAGAGTTTTTACAGGTACCCCCCACAATTCCTTCTAACTCAGACCTTCCATAGCTAACAACACAGACTGCGGTCATCTAGCAAGAGAGAAACACAGGATTGTAGTCGGGGAGACAGGTGAGATGAAGAAAAGGAGACAGAGACAAGGAGGCAGACAGGACAGTGCGGACAAAGTAAGGCCCTTGAGACAGAAAGGTGAAGCAGGCGGGCTGCAGGCACATGGCCCCCGCCCCTCCCAAGGTCGCCGATGTGGGCTGTGGGGGCAGTGGTCCCCTCAGCCCGGGTCCCTCCCAGGCATGGAGCCTCCACAGAGCTGGGCAGCTCGGCATTCATTAGGACCTGTCTAATGGCTCGGAAGATTGGCCAGTTCTAGGGATGCTGATGAATAGAGACCACGCTGAGATTTATTCCTAATTATCTCATTTGTCTCCCCCCATTACTCTTTATGGCCGGGATTTATGGGACCATTAGGGGGGCCCAGTCAGGCCAGGACGAGTGTGAGCCTCGAGATGCTTCATGATAATAATAGTAACAACGCTCCCCCTGGCCCGGATGAATGGAGGACTTCCTTCTTGCCCTCCCCATCCCCTGTCCTTGGGACCCCAGACACCAGCTTCCCCTATGTTCCTCTCCTGTCTGGGACCCCGGGCCCTCAGCCACCTGTGGAGTTCAAACCTGTGCCCCCCTTCGCCTCCTGCTCCACCCCAAGGGCTCAAGGTAGTAGTGGGAGGACCTGATTTCAAAGGTAACACCTCTGGGACAAGGTCT